ACAGGCTTTCAAAACATTACAAAATACACCAACAAACATTTTTGTTTTTTCCTTTTTCCTGTTGGGAATCTCCAGAAGTTTTGGAAGGAACATGTGTTACTTTTGTGATATAAAAATCTCTTTAAAGTTAAGAACAAGCAAACCAAAGGTCAACACGGGCAGGGTGCTTTCTGCAGGGCCCTGGAACTGTGTGGAGGCCCTGCCCCAGCCTGAGGTAAAGGGGCCTCCTGCCGTTCTGGGCTGGGCCAAGACGGGAGGGCATCTGTCCAGGTATGTTTCTTGAGGGTTTGGCCCAGTGGTGAGAAGTGGCAGGTTCACAGCTAAGGCCATATGCATCCCTGAGCCACCATTTGGGGCCTCTCAGCAATTCCCTAGCACAGGCCCTGGCTGTAGCCCCTCTCAGCCCTCACCCCAGTCTCCCAGGGAACTGACCATGGCACAAGCTTAGGGAGAAGGCCATGGTCTTCCCACAGCTCATGGAGGCCCTCATTACAAGTCTGAAGCCCATGGACACGTGCCTGCATGTGTGTGCAAGTGTGTGTGTGTGTGTGTGTGTGTGTGTGTGTGTGTGCGTGCGCATGAGAGAGACACACATACACACACACAGGAAGATACAGAAAGACACACACAGAAGACAGCTGGCCCTCCTGGGTCCAGGGGTGGGCCTCTTCCCTTGGCTGGTAAATGGCCGGCCTGGACATTCTGGAAATGGGGGTAGGAAGTGGTGCGGTGTCAAAACCCAGCTGGGGCCCTGGCTCGCCACTGGACTCAGCAGGCCCCCTTAGTGTAAGGTCAGGGGAGACCGAAGAATGAGGGGCAGGATGGAAAGATGACGGGGAGGGTGGAAAGAGGCTCATCTTCCCACTGAGGCAGAAGCAAGACTCGAGACCAGGCCCACCCCTCTTGCAGATCGTCTGCCCTTTTCCCCACTCTCTCCTCCTGACACGGTCCTCCACGTCCTCAGATTTGCCCACATATATACCCTTGACCCCGGTCATGGCTAGAGGACAGGACCTGTGGGACAGGGGGTGCAGGGATACTCGCTGTGGCTTTGTTCATATGAGAGAACAACTGGAGACGGCCAGAATACCCAGGAATAGGGGCCTAGTTGCCAGTATTTGGTGTATTCCATCAGTGGGATGATTGTAGATCTTAGGGGAAAAGTTCTGAAGGAGAACATGTCTGCAGTTGATACGTAAATGAAAATACAAATTGAAGGTAGTGTGCATTTTTTAAATCCCACTCGCAGTATATATTGTACAAGCACATGTACACACACACAGAGGCATATTTGATTAAGTATAGAATCTTTTTTAAGATTACACAAGAGTGTTTACAGGGAGAATGAAACTACGTAAGAGTGCTTCTGCCAGGGAAAGGAACCTGAAGCTTAAGAGGTTTTTCTTTACATCGTATGCTTCTCTTTCCTTTCCCCTTCCCCTCCTTTCCTTCCTTCTCTTGTTCCTTCCTTCCTGTTTTATATTTTATTTCATTCCTCAAAAATTCAGTGTAGCATATTTATCATTTTTAAAATGAAAAACTGAGTCACGCATGCTGACTCATGCCTGTAATCCCAAGCACTCCGGCAGGCTGACTCAGGGGGATTGCAAGTTCCAGCCCAGCCTGGGCAATTTAGCAAGTTAGAGAGACCCCGTCTCAAAATCAAAAACAAAAAAGAGCTGGGGATGTAGCTCAATGTGAAGGCCCTGAGTTCAATGCCCATTACTGCAAATAATAATAGTTTAAAAATGAATAAATGAGAGCTGGGGATTTAGCTCAGTAGTTCTGCTGCCTGCCTTGCAAGCACAAGGATGCGAGTTTGATCCCCGGTACCAAATAAATAAATAAATAAATAAATAAACAAAAATGCTGCAAACTTAAAAAATTTTGACAAAAAGAGCTGTTAACAGTGGTCAAACTTAAACTTAATTAAAATAGTGTTCTGTTTAAGTAAAGTTTGTTGGTTTTATAATTTTAAAATTCTAAGTAAGCAAATAAATAGCAAGATGTCCCTGACCTGGTTGTTGGTAGATGGGTGGACGCTGTGTTTAAGGGACAGGGGGGTTGTTGGTGGCCAGGGAGCAGGACTTGAAAACCCTCAAGCCTGGGTGGCTGTGAGCCAGGGGTGAAGGAGTGCCCCCCGCCATGTCACTGGCTCACCTGGGCACCAGGGATTGAAGAGCACGATGAACTCCCCAAGCTTGTAGGCTGTGACAGATCCCTGGAAGGAGGTGATGTGCACTTTCAGCAGGTACCGACCCACAGCTGCCATGGGTGGGGCACACAGGCTCACTTCCAGGGAGGTGGGCCCCGGGGTCTCTGGCAAGGCAATCCAGGGGCTAGGGCCTCCATGATTTCCCAGGCTGAACACTGCCCGAGTCCCTTTGGCCAGATCTGGCAGGGGTCCTGGGAGGAAAACAGAGCTGAGAACCTCTATGGTGACCTCCCAGCCCAGCCCTCTAAGCATTCCTACACACACACACACACACACACACACACACACACACACACACACACTGTCCTTGTGAGCCAGCTGAGGGAAGGTCTCACCAGTCTCAACCACAAAGATGATGTTGTCCAGGCCTGGCTGAAAGCCGCGGTTCCTGAAGTACAGGATGATGCTGAAGGCCTGGCCTCTGCGGACAAGGAGGTGGTCCACACTGATGTCATCGGTGTGATGGTACACATTGTTCCAGGAGCTCCGGAGGTCTGTGAGGGCAACCTCCAGCCCTGTGATGAGGCAGGCAAGACAAAGGGGTTGCGGATCAGGGTCTAGTCCTGCTCATCACTTGTGCAAACTTGAGAAAGAAACAGCTTCTCTGCACCTCTGTTTCCTCAGTGAAATAGATTCCATAGTACTAGCCCGACAAGACCATAATGAGGGCTGCATGATCTTCCATGAAGGCAGGTTTCTCCTCCCTCCCTTCCTCCCCTACTTCTCTGACACTGTATCCTCTTCTTCCTTATGCCCTCCTGGAGGAGACTGGTTTTTAGCCTCTGTCTGACTTCTTTCATAGACCTGCCCAAGTCTGATTCCTCCTTTTAGCCCAGCATATCTTCATTTTCATCCTCACATCGATTTTCTTGGCCTGACATTAACAGTCTTACTTGCCCACGGACCAGCTTCCAAGCCCAGGAGTAAGTCACTGGGTCAGCTACCCTGGGTCAGTTTCCCCGGATTAGCTACTCTATGTTTAGCAATTTGCAAACTTTCTGACACCATCAATCCCATGTGCCCTGTGTCCTGGGAGCTTGGCTGCTGAGCAAAGTCAAGGAAAATTCCGCCCTAGCTATCTGGAGCTTTGCAAATACACGGGCTGACTTCACTGTTCTCCAAGTGTGCCCTCTTGGAAGGGGTCTGTTTCCAACCTTTGGTTTGACCACGGTTTTGTCATTGTCCTCAGTAATTTGGGGGTGGACATAGCTTTAAATTACAATCTCCTCAGTCTGTATCTCTTTGTGTGCCACCAAGTCCCTCCACTTTTCCCATTAAAATGTCTCTTGTGTCCATCTGTCCCTTTCCACATGCATATAATTCCATTCTTACCTAATTCCTGGTGGCCACACTCACAACTTTCGACAGGTCTGCCTCTGTGTTGCCTCCTACCACTTCCCCTTGACATATTATCAGTTACCGGATCTTACAACAATTTGATCGTGCTACCCTTCTGCTTTAAGAGTTCTAAGATACTCCACAGTCTGCCATGTGAAAGGAACATTCCTTTACCTGACTCTTAGGACCCTCTATGCCTGTCATGAACTTATGTTTGCATTATTCTTCTCACTACCTTCCAGCCAATCTGTCCCGAGAAAATGGTCCACCTCTCTGTCTGTGCATTTGAGCAAATTCCACCTGTTGTCCAAGACCGACATCCCTCCTGAAGCCTGCCCTATGATCCCACCTTCTTGCTATGCCCCACTCATCTAAAATTTACATCATTCTGAATCTGAACAGTTCAACTGACACAGTTAATTTATGTTATGTTCATTGGTTCACTTACACCAATTTTTTTTTACTGAGACCCTACTAGTTTCAGGCTCAGCATGAGTTGCTCAAATATTTTTCTTAGTTGTTTTTTTTTTTTTTTTGCTATTTTAAGATTTTTTAAAAATGATAGAACCAAGTCATCTGACAAAATCCAATACCTCTTCATGATAAAAATACTCAGCATACAAAGAATAGAAGGCATTTTCTCAACCTGATAAATGGTATCAGTAAAAGCCTGCAACTTTTTGCAGAATGACTGTTTTTTTTCCCTCCCAAGATAAAGAACAGGGCAAGGACATCTGCTCGTATCCTTTGCTATGGCCTGTGTCTGGACATCCCCCAAAGCCTCATGCAGTCATAGGAGAGAGTTTTTGGAGGTGGTTGGATCTAGAGTGTGCGTCAATGGGATTAAGGATGTGATGCTGGGATTGATTTGTGTGTGATGTTAGGATTAAGGGTGCCCCACCTGGATGTGAGTGCTACCCTCCCTAAGGGTGTATAGCCTCGATAGGATATGAGAAACAGAAAGAGGGCTACTGTTGCCACTTAAGCAGCTTGATGCTGCTTTTTCACTACTTCACTGTTTTGCTGGCCTCTGCCTGCCATGAACTGTTTCTCCTCTGAGACACCACCCTGCCGTGGAGCCAGCCAACTCTGAACTACAACCTCTACAAACTGTGAGTTACAATAAACCTTTCCTCCTTTAACTTTGGGTGTCAGGTATTTTGTCTTAACAACGAGAAAAGTAACTAAGACAGCCCTCTACTCACTATTGTATTGGAGTTTCCAGCCAGGCTATTAGACAAGGAAAATAAATCAAAGATATTCAAATAGGGCCGATGAAGCAAAATTGTCCCTCTCAACACATGGAATGATCTTTTTAAAGACAAAACACTGAAATGTTAGAATTACTGTCTTCATTTTTTAGCTTTTTTAAGTGTATATTTATGATAAATAATAACTGTAATCATCTTAGTGAGTTAATACATAGGCAGATCACATCTCGATCACTTTCCTCTTTTTTCCCACTCTCCCCTCACTCCTCCTCCTCAGAGCACCTCAATACACAGACATAATCTTTTTGTCGTTGTTGTTTTTGTTTTTTGATACAGGCTTTCACTGTAGTTGAGACTGACCTGGAACTCCCTATGTAGCCCAGGCTGGTCTCGAACTAACAGCGATCCTCCTGCCTCAGCCTCCCAAGTGCTGGGATTATAGGCATGCACCACCATGCCCAGCTTCATAATCTTATGTATGGAAAATCCTAAGGGATTTCCCGTCTCATCCCCCAAGTTGGGATTATAGGCATGCACCACCATGCCCAGCTTCATAATCTTATGTATGGAAAATCCTAAGGGATTTCCCGTCTCCAGCTCCATTTAAAACTATAATACTCATAGAAGAAAACATAGGGGTAAAGCTTCACAATCTTAGACTAGGAGATGGTTTCTTAGATATGCTAGTAGAAATATAAGCAGTGCAAGAAAAAAATACATTGAACTTCATCAAAATTAGTAACATTTTCTTTCAAGAACATCACAAAGTGAAAAGATAACCCACAAAATTGAGAAAATATTTGCAAATCATGTTTGTAACAAGAACTTCTATCTATCATCTATTTATCTATTATACAACTTTACAACAAAAGACAACCAAAATATAAAATGGACAATGAATGTGAACAGATATTTCTTCAAAGAAGATAGGCAAATGGCTAATAAGCACATGAAAGGATGCTTATTGTCATTAGTACATAAGTGAGATAGGACTTCACATCCATTCAGATAGCTGTGATGAGAAAGACAGATAACAACAAGTGTTGGTGAGGGTAGAACCCTCCTACACTGCAGGTGGATTTGGAAAGTGGCGGGGAGCTTTGGAGAACACTGGCAGCTCCTCAAAGTGTTAAATGTGACACGACAATATTCCCAAGCGAAGTGAAAGTATACATTCCCCCAAAACCTATACGTGATACCAGCTTTGTTAATAATTTCCCCAAAGTGGAAACAACATAACTGCTCATCAACTGATGAACAGATCAACAAAACATGGTAACAGAATATTGTCTGTCGTGAAAAAGAAAGCTGAACCTGCTATACTGTGGATGAACCTTGAAAACGTCATGCTCAGGGAAAAAAGTCAGACACAAAGGGCAGGTGTTGTATAATCAATTTATACACAATATCTAAAATCCACATAGAAAGTAAATGAGGGTTGGTCAGGGGATGAAGAGAGATGGAACAGGATGTAACTGCTAATGGCTGTGGATTTCTTTTAGAAGCGATGAAAATATTTTGGAACTAGGTAGTGGGGTGCATGCAAAACTTCGGTAAATATACCAAAGCCCACTGAATTGTGCATTTTCAGTGGGTGAGCTTGATGGTATATGAACCAAATCGACTGTAATAAATATTGACTCTAATAAATATTATCTTCTTAACCTCTGGAAGTTCTTATTACTGTTGACATACATCTTTTTTATAAAATAGTTTGTTATTGTTATTATTATTATAAGATAAATAAGCAAAATAATCCAGAAACATTTGCCACATTGAATAGAGCTCTCTGACTTTTGCAAAACCACCTGTATTTATTTCAGATTTCACATTCACTCAGCACTTTCCCGCAGGTCTGTCACCACAAGGTTGGCCACTGTGCTAGGCACTCTAGGACCATCGCATTTAACCCTTGCCACAACCTAGGAGGGATCAAATGTTATGTCAGCCATACTTGGAGAGGAGAAAACTGGGTTTGGGTGGATTAAATGTTTTGCCTTTGGTTAGACTCAAGAACTCTGACCCAAGGCCAGTGCCCTTTTTATTCATCACCTAATAGCTTCTCTCATTGCTGGCTTTCCCTCATGCTTGAAGAGAGCATACCAACCCTATCAGCTGTCTTTTTCCTAGTAGTGGAAAAAGCAGCTCACTCCTTTTGGAGGCCAGCTGGCTAGATGTGGAGCCCTAACTGGCTCTGGCTCAGGTGTGTGACTCAGGCTACCCAACAGGTGGGGCAGCTTCTGCCTTGAGGTGAGCACTTTGGCCAGGTCTCATTCTGGATAAATCATGGGCCAGTCAGTCTCTGCCTCCAGCACAGGGCTTGCTCTGAAGGCCAAACAGCAAACATTCAGTAGGGGTTTTGTTTTCTGCCAGACTTGTTTGTCCTTCTTGGGGTGAGGAGAGATGATCAGGGAATTAAGAAGATGACAGTAGGAAGAGCTATGAAAGGAAATGCTCTCAGGAGAGACACTCCCTCTTACATCCGAGAGGCCAGTTTAAGGGTGTTCACTGTGACGCAAACAACCTCAGTGCTCATCTGCATGGGACTGGGGGTTGATACATTTCGTCTACACCTACAGCACAATCTGAAAAGGGGAAATACTGACTTAGAGCTGTAGGTATTGACCAGCATGGACAAAGCTCCAAGACATACTTTTGAGTAAAAAGAAAAAAATGAAGGTAGAGCAATATTTATAGCATGATCTACCATGAATAGTTTTTAAAAGCTACACATACTAATCCTGTGTATTATGATAGGTGATAGAGAGAAAGATAGATGGACAGAAAGATAGATGTGTTGCTGGTAACCGTGGTTCCTCTGGCAATGAGGCTGGATAGGAAGTCAAGTCAGGTTACTATGACTTTATCTGTAATTACTGCTTTATTTTTTACTCCAACTATGCATTGATATATTTCCTCTGTAGTTAAAAGTTATAAAAAATTTTAAATTAAAAATGGAGCACAAAAAATAGTGAAGGCAAGGCAGTGACATTTGTAGAGCAAGTTAAAAGCTCATACCTATAAGTAATTTCAGTCAACTATTAAATTTTCATAGTAGCTCTTTCTAGAGAGAGGGACGATGGTGGTAAGATTGATTAGGGTGAGGAAGAGCCCCTCTGAAATGAGGAAAGAAGAGAAGAACATTCAGAGAACTTTAAGCTGGGAGATAACTTCAAGACTGTGGTCCAATTCCTTCCATTTTTCAGGCACAGGAGGTAGAAATAGCAAAATGACTTGCACAGTGTCAAGATATCAGCTAGTGTCAGAGAAAGGTAGGAACCCCGGCCACCTACTCCCTATCCCTAATCAGCCCCCCCCCCCCCC